TTAAATATAAATCATGTTTTAACAAGAACAAGTAATATCCCTTTAATTATATAATTTTAAAAAGTTAATATATGAATATACCCCGACAAGTATATATTTTTAAATTTTCATTTTTTTTTTTACATACATATATAAATCCCGCTTATTTCAACTGCCAAATATAATTTTCTAATTTTAAAATAAAACATGTTTTCCCAGCATTATATATAACTACGCCAACATTGTAATAAACAGATATAATTCAAAATTACGTAACGGTCAGTCTATACTTAGCACCTGAAGATTCACGTTGTGCATGAAACCCCGAGACGTGCTATCGGTGAGGGACAATATGTATATTTATTAATATATATTCTGTTATATTACATCGAGCACTATTTTATTAACACCAGTACAATATGTGAGATTTTGTACGCGGTTCACCCTTTACAAGGCCCGGGGACTACTCGAGGTAGAGGATAACGTTTGGGGGTCAGTTGTGTGTATAGGAGTGGAAAATAACGGACAACCCTAGACTTGAACAGGTTAAGACTGTAGCGATCGGCGAAACATCGTTGGGATACGATTCCACAAGGGAAGAAGAGGCTTGAATGGAATACAGAGGGAATGCGGGGTGGTCTGCTACAATGTAAGTGACATAGTTTGTTCCTACTGAGAAGGTTTGCTTCGGCGGAACTTGTATAAATGATTGACAGAACAGGCTTTAGGAGAGATGACAAAAAGACTAATTTTACTAGGAGCTACAAAGGACAGGAAATTGTGGAGAGCCATGATCGCCTACGTCCTGAAAAGACACAACACATAGAAGAAGACTCTGAGCCAAAGTATTACTTGGATCTTCGTGAACAAAGAAGGTAATTACCTTCTTTGTCCACGAAGATACATTGCGAGTTGTGATGTAGCTTTTTGACTTTTGCAATTACAACCTCGGACTTCTGATTTTTTTCCGAATTTCCCTATTGTTATTTATCTCAGTAATAAGGCGTGGTTGTGATAAATAAAAGAGTTTTTATTTTCACATGATTTACAAGATTCGATCGTTTGCTTGTTCTAGACTATCGTATATCAGTCGTGGGAGACTGAGAGTTCGTTCGCGATATAAATTACTTCACACCAATGGAATACGGAGCGAATGTGGGTGGTTTCCTACAATGTAAGTGATATTGGTGAGAAGGTTTGCATCAGCGGAACCAGGGAACGTAGTTTGTCGGAGCACTTTCATGATTTATAATATATAATATATATATATATATATATATATATATATATATATATACCCAAGTATAGGATCTATAAAATATTATATATATATATATATATATATATATATATATATATATATATATATATATATATATCCCAAGAATAGGATCTATAAAAAAGAATGTATAAACATAAAAATGTCTTAAAATAATTATCGGACTTTGTCCATTATATATATATATATATATATATACCCAAGTATGGGATTGCTGTATACGGAATAAATTCAAATAACCAAACAATACTATTCTTAAAAGAGTGCTCAATATAGAGTAGAGCAAATATAATATATGTTAGATAGATAGATATGTTATAAAATCACGACAAAAATAGCCATCTTGTTTCGACACTTCTGGTGTTTTATCAAGTGATGGTGTTGGATATATATACGTGTGTGCGTGTGCGCGCGCGCGCCTAACAACTTCTTTTTTGGTTAACCCACTTGTCAAATATGGCTTCTCGTCCCGAACCAAAATGATGTTAGCGTAATGTCCGTCTGATATTGTTTGGTCGGTTACTTCAGCTCAAAATTCGCTAAACGAAAAATTCGCTAAACGAAAAATTCGCTAAACGAAAAATTCGCCCTCATATTTCATTCATTTACATTCCACGATAACAGCAAGAAAGATGTTTATTAAAAGATGATTCTCAAGAGAAGAAAAGTATAGCACAAGTTCAAATTTCGTCCAAGGCTATCGATTTTATTCATTTACACAAACGGTTATATTGATCGTATTTGTATCGATCATATTTTATGGCACATATGCATTTACTCACCTTCATTTCCTTCTCTGTGAATATTCAGACGTGACAAGTGCACTTAATGTACGTTTGAAAGTAGAAGTGTGTGTTGGCATATATTTAAGCCTGTTTGAACTTGCTTCTACGCATATGTAAATGCTGTATACAATGTAACGCATGCGCTCTCCGTTCTCATTGCCGGGTTAAAATTCATGGAGGTTGCTCCGTACTCTTTCGACTCTAAACTGTGCAGGCAATAAAAAAAATAAAGAAATAATGAACAAGAATCTCTATTTTAATTACATTATGTTCTACTTGAAATTCTAATTCGGAGAAAATGCAGAATAACAATTTCACCCCGATATTTGATAGATACAACACGCCCAACCGTTGCCAGCCCGAACAGCAAAGCTCATCAAGTTGGCGCCATCTTACCGTTACAGTATTTTCACAGAATTTAAATAAATTTATCAAGAAAAAGAAAAATAGGAATAGAATTTTAAGAACATTCGAAGATCGATACAAATGGAAAGAATAATATCAGTGTGAGTTAGACAGATAATTGAAACCTTCAAACAAGGCAGTCTAAATTTCTTCCAGGAATATGGCTCTCCACAACTTCAATATACTTTGCTGTTCTTAGTAAGGTTTGTCTTTTTACTATACCTACTAATCTCGAATCCCTGTTCAGCCAAGCATTTACACAAGCTCGTTAGGGGAGGATATGAGCTGCTTTCATCTATCCCCCCATTTTTTTAATATGTCCTATGAGTGTCAAATTCTCCAAGCCCACTTTCCTTATTATAAGACCTAGAAATTTCAACTGATTTCTGATTTTAAGTATAAGTTGTTTTTTTCTTTTCATTTTCTTTAAAACTTACTCGTTAGTCACATGACCAGTCCATGGGATTCTCAGCATCCTCTTGTAAAACGAGATTTCTGCCGTCTAATTACGTAATATATATACTAACAAAAAATGGCGAGTACAATTAAAGAATCTTCAACAGAATTTTAAAATTGTATGTGTATTTATCTTGAGCCAAATTATTTTCAAGTTTTCAAATGAATTATTCCTTTCTCCTGGTTAAAACTGACTATACACGAAGTGAGACATGAAATACAGTCTCTGTTCGGATAGAATCCAAATCGGACTTGCTTTTCAGACGCGGAATAATTACTTGGAGGCCTGAAAAAAAAGGTGTGCATTTTCGTAGAGTGTTAAAGAAATATTTCTGTTTGATGAACGACATAATTTTATAATCCAATTTCATCACAACTTGAATTTCTGGCACGAATGTATATAAGTAAAGACATATAAGTAAATTCAATTTTCCTTAGAACATCTCTCTCCGTTTATTTTTTTTTTTTCGATAAATTTCATCTGACAAAAAAAATATTACACTTTCACCACACACCTGCACGATACGCACAGAGACACAAACAAACATACACACACACATACATATATATATATATATATATATATATATATATACTATTTACATTTATCGGACTATTGCATTTGAAATTTTGGGCTCAGTTAGAATTGGTGCCAATGGGAAATATGGAAACCCGCTAAGCAAGCCAAAGTTTACTTGTACACTATTTACATTATTCGGACTGTTGTCCTCATCTTTGTCGCCATATTTATTACAACGTTTCGGACGTTGTACGCTCCGGCCTTCTTCAGGTGGTGGAATATAAAGCTGAACGGAAAATACAACCTGTAAGAAACGAAATGTTATGAAAAGGCCACGTAAAGGGACAAAACCCTTAGATCACGTGACCTTGTTATAATAATGGCAATTTCTGTATATCATACATGGAAATAAGGAATGTATTAAGTAAAAAATACAACATAAAAAATTATTTTAAAAAAAAGTAGCGCAACTAAATTTATTAAACTTAGCAATTTTGGACTCGTAATTTTTTTTTCTACTTAATTACTACATCACCTCGAGGAACCCTCCTAGTACAGAGCTTTACACGATTTTAAACTATTATAAATTATTATAATTAAAATTTCTTAAAAAACGAAAAAATTCTTGTAAAAATTAATTATTCATCAGAAAAAAATAATTTCTTCAGACAATAATGTCCTTAATATTACTTATTTACAAAAGCAATTAACAGCTTTTCTAATTAAGTAATAACATAGTTTTATTGGATTCATTATTTTTCAAGTCAGAGCAGATTTTCAGTTAAATAGCTCAAATTTGAAAAAAAGTAGGTTATTTACCATCTTCGAAGACTCCTACTTTTAACAAAAAAAAATTCAGGAACCAAAAAATACTTTGGTCTTTCATCTTAATAATAACATAAGCATTTTGACGATAAAACTTTATTTTAGTTAAGTTTGTGGCATTTTTCATTACGCTATATGCTGTTTTCCCGCGAAAGCAGTGAACATGCTTAATGTACACACATGTATGTGTGTGTGTGTGTGTGTGTGTGTGTGTGTGTGTGTGCGGTTAGTGCACTGAGTTTAAGGATTTTTACAAACAAGACGGGACACCAGCAATAGAATCTTAGCTGGAATTTTTTAAGTATGTACTATGAGTTAAGTCATCTGACAAGCGAAAAAGGATTGAATCTACCTTTGGGGTGAAATTCGGCAGCATTGAAATGAAATGACTTTTGTCAACGATCAATAGAGTGGAAGACAAAACAGGTAATTTCAAGTTAAGTCCTCGGGGAAATGGCAACATTTGATGGTGTTCACACCTCATTTTTTTTATTACGAATTTGGTCTTTCCGCCTGAGTCTATTTAAACTAAGAAGCGCTCGACTTTGGTTTGACGCTACTTATTACTAGTATATTGGGTAAAAGTAACATTTAAACAACTTGAAGCTTATGTTGGTCTTGAGATTGAATGTAAAAGGAATGGATGGGATTTCGAATGAGACGAATGTAATGATGACTGGATACGAATTTTGAATAAAAGGAGAAAGAAAAGATGTAAACGAACAAGACAAAGAAATTGGAAATGAAATTTTTAAAAATGAAAAAGAAAAAAGAAAAATGAATGAATAAAAGAAAGAGTAAATGAGGGAAAACAGACGAAAGATAAAAAGAAGAAAAGAAAAGAAAAACAAATGAAGTAACGAAACAAAATGGATGCAAAAAATGAATAGCAGAAAGAAAGAAAGAAAGAAAGAAAGAAAGAAAGAAAGAAAGAAAGAATGAAAACAATGAAAGAAAGAAAGAAAACAAAGAAATAAACGAAGGGACAAATAAAACAAAGAAAGGAAGGAAGAAAACAAACAAAGAAAGAAACAAATAAAACAAAGATAGAAAGAAGGAAAACAAGGTAAGAAGCAAACAAATAAAACAAAGCAAGAAACAAACAAACAACTAAAACAAAGAACGAAAGAAAGAAACAAACAAACAAATCAAAAAAGAAACTAACAAAAAAATAAATAAAACAAAGAAAGAAATAAAGAAAGCAAAGAAACAAGCAAACAAATAAAACAAAGAAAGAAACAAATTTAATCAAAGAAAGAAAGAAAGAATGAAAGAAAGAAAGAAAGACGGAAGAATAAAAAGAAGAAACAGAAAATATAACAATCAACAAACGGAAGATAATAAAAGAAAGAAACAAGAAGAAAAACAAATGAAGAATGAAAGAAGCGTAAATAGAATGAAAAACAGAAAATGAAAAAACCAACACACGAAAGAAAAAGAAAAAGCAAGAAAGAAGTATAACTCTTTGATCAGCCCATAAATGTTATCAAAGAGAATAAAATATCAACAATCTAGATTTTAATGTCACCATCATGACCGTCTTGAAAACACGATTCTCTAATCAGTGATCAATCATCAAGACTAAGCAGCCATTTTTATACATTGATTGATTCGAACAGTTAGTCATTTCTATAAATGTTCAAATTTATTCATCATAATTCATCAAGAACAATTATTGAATCAGCGTTGTCATCACGATTCGATTAATCCAAATGCACGCTTTAATCACATGTTACGTTTTCTACATCAAATAATACGTAAGGAAAATAACATTAAAATTGATACTGGTTAAACAACTTAATAAAAAAAGTCTTCTGTCATGTACAGTTCTTACAAGTACGACGTGTAAAGAAAAGTGTAGAAACCTTCCCACTTATATACAATCTAATTTGCATATCACCAAAAAACTTAATTATAAATTTTAAGTAAATTCTTTATTTTCCTTAACACCTGAATAATACCTAATAATAAATTTTATTTTTAATTATAAGTTTTCATATTTTATTTGGCTATAAGAAATTTATATTTCTTTCTTTCATTTTATTTCCAGGTATCATATCAACATTTTGACATATTTCCTACGTACAAATTTTGTTCACGGATATTTATTTTAAAATTTTATCAACTGTTAAAAAAAATTCAAATATACAAAACGTTTCTAAGTAGTAAATAAGAAAATACTAAAAAAAATTTTTTTTCCTTAAATTTTCAGTTGTCTTTAGAATGCTCTTACAGAAGGAAACGCTAACAAAGAAAACAAAAGTAAACAACCAAACGGATTTCACAAATTCTATCCGACAATTCCTTCGGATATTTTATATCAAACATTTAATCATATATATATATATATATATATATATATATATATATATATATATATATTCCTCTTCCTTTAATTTTCAAACTTTTATTACATCTTGGTAATCTATTGTTTTTTACATCGGTCGTTGATAATAATTTTTCTTATCAACGTCTTTGTTTTATTCTGCCGACGATTGTTTTTCTGAAGAAAATTCGGTTTTCGAAATATATTATTAAATTTCCCAGTTTTTTTTCTTAAACGGAATAAATTTTGTATCTATTTTGACAAAAAAATGGGAAATATGAATCCTTATATTTAAAATTTTTTGACTTAGTGTGGCAATATAAAAAAATAACGATATATATATATATATATATATATATATATATATATATTATGTTTTAAAAATTATTATCGAATAACTTTTTTTAATATTTCAAAACCATCGAATCAATTCGTCAAAAAAATTTTCACAAAATGTTGGCAACACTTTTATTCAAATCAATTTTTTTTTAAACGAGAAAGATAACGAAGAACCCTGGACTTACCAGTCAAGAGCATTTTCAGTCGCATTGGGGATCCTACTGTGTCTAAAACGTACTTAATTCGGTATCTGAAAAAATAGCAACAACAGTCAAAATGTAATTGAAGCCTCCGTTGACGAGAAATCACATTCAAAAATCGATTGAAAATGGGCCGAGGGACAATATGAAGAATGATCTCTAAAGTTTTGTTCACAGACGAAACTCCAAACACCTGATGGGCCAGATAAATGGTGCAAAGGCTGGGTAATGAACGGACAGAATCATCATCAGCGTTTGAGACGCCAACAAGGCGGTGGAGGCATAATGATCTGGGTGGTATTATTGGAAAAACATTCGAAATTTTCGAGTTTCCATGGAGAGTACCAGATGGCGTCAAAATGACTGCTGATGCATACATAGCGTTTATTAAGGAGCATCTTGAACCGTAGATGAAAAAAAAGATTTGCCTTCAGAAGGGCCATTGTTTTTTTATGCAAGATAATGCTCCCTCACATGCTTCTGACAAGACTACTGAATATTTGAAACAGTTAGAAACTCGATGGACCTCGAAAATGAAAAATAAAAATTCTCCAAATTAATATGAACCCAATCGAAAACCATTGAAATCATGAAGCGAAGACTGTACGCCAACGGACGACAATTCAGGAGCAACGCTGAGTTGTGTGAAGCAATTCTTGACATATCTCGCGGCATTACAGCAGATGACATCCTACAATTAACAAATTCTATGGATCGTCGACTTCTTCAAGTAATTTCAAAACTGGGAAAGCACATTCCTTATTAATTTGTTTAAAACTGTGCCTTTGTTTGTATCTGTTATTATTTGTTTGATTATCTTATTTATTAGCTTCTTTTGATCATAAAACATTCACGTGCAACCTTAATGAACGTTTTGTTTGCTCAATTCTGGGAATTTTACTAAACCTTTCTAATAATTTGGCACGCTCAAATCACCACGCTAATAACAAATATTTAATAAGTTTGTTTACATTGTGCAGATCAGTACGAAAATTTCAGTGATTGCGCAGGTTAGTGTTGCCAATATTGTGTGAATTGATTGGACAGTATTTGAAATATTAGAAAAATAGTTATCTCGATAATAATTTATTTCAGTTATATATATAAAATATTACATATCATTTTTATATACCAGCTGCAATTTTCAGCTGAGCAAATTTATTTTTCATCAAAGTGTCGGCCCATTAATCTCATTATTTTGAAAAAGCCTAAAATTTAAATTGAATTTTATAAATTATAATGCATTTTCTCTGTTTTTCTTATTTGGATGCGAAATTAAAAATTTTGGGGTAATCCATTTTTTTTTCCTTCCACCGCTTTTCACCACCAAAGCCTTTTTATAACCTTATCCGGCTTTTTTAATCTCATTATAAATGAGGAATCTCTTTAAAAAAAACTAAATATTTGAAATCCTCTTTAATTTTCCTCAAATGGCACCAAATTTTGAGCCATATCCTCTCTCTAAAAACTTTGCAAAACAGGTAAATTCCTCATACCGAAAAAAACTTTAAATTTTGATGTGAAAATTTTAAATCCCTTTTTCCCATTGTCAGTTCAATTAAGCAACAGATTTTTGTTTCTGATATCAATTAAAAAAGATATGGTCTCAGACCAGACGAAAATTACCTCCACTGAAAATGTAGCATCAACCAACACTAAAAAATTTTGAGTTTTCTTTGATAAATTTTTGCCTTTTTACAGTCGCGCCTTGCTTCAGGAAGGCTTTTTATTCGAAATGAAAATTAAATAAAATATTTTTGTAAAATCTTTTTATGCCATTATAAACCAGAACCAAGTTAAAAAAAAAGGTTACCAATTTCTAAAATTTGGACATTTTATATATAATATTATTTTGTTTCCATAATATATTTCAAAATATAAAAATGGCTCCTTTTATTTCTTTTTATATTCAATTATTTGCCATAAAGCTTTACCATTTTTTGCTGCCTGTAAAATTGATAACCTCAAATTTCCTATTTATAATCCACCAATATCTTGTCACTGATCTGAACAAATTCTTATACCCTCCCAGTTAAATCATCGATTATATATAAAAAAAAGACAGTCCGTTAAGAATTTTTTTATCTTTATATTATTCGATAAAATTATTCTAATCTCCCTATTGCTATAAATTGCTAATATATAAATATATATATTAAAAAATATCTACTGGAAAATATATATATCTCTTTTTATCTTATTCTCTCATATATTTTATAGATTCAAAAATAAATTGATTCTTTTATTAACACCTTGAATGGAATTAAATAAAAAAAAATTTTAAAATCAAATTCCAATGCTTTAAATCATTTTATGACAAAAAAATTTCTTCTGTCTTCACCTCTGGCACATTCATCCAGGATTGTAGCATTTATAGTCTCAAAAGCATGGACTGCAATCTCACCTTTATAACCTTGTTTATATCCACCAAAGAAAAGGAAAAAAAAAGGCCTTAATAAATGAAATGTCATAATAAAATATTAAGGCGACATTTTCCTTACAAATTTAAGTCAAATTTCAGTTTGCATTTATGGTATTTTCCCTCAATTATCTAAACTCTGACAGTACCTTATTCATATATTATTCATCGGCCAATTAATATAATATTTGCATCAATCCAAAATTGCATATATGTATATATTAAATAAATATTCGAAAATCCCATCATATATTGTGTTTCTTCGCAGGCCCAATTCCGCTTGTTTCTGGATTTCAAAAAATATATATGACGATCTGTCAAAAATATATATATATATATACCATCATATATATATATAAATATATGTAAAGTCTTTCATCTATCTTGGTAGCAAAGGCAATTACAGTGGAACTTTAGATGATGAAATCATGCATCGGATTATTTTAAGGCTACCAGTGTTTTCAAAAACTTCGCCATCGTCTGTGGAATGAGCGGGGTATTCGACTGGATACGAAAATTCGGGTTTACAGAGCTGTTGTACTTGCCATCCTTTTGTATGGCTCAGAGTTGTGGACTCCATACAGGTACCATATACGCCAGCTAGATGTTTTCCATAAAAGTTGTCTGCGTGCAATCTGTGAAGTTAAGCTTCAAGATAGGACATCTAACGTAGACCTGTTTAACAGGTGTAATATTGGAGGATTCGAGACTTTTATCATACAGTCTCAGTTACGGTGGACTGGTCATGTCTTGAGAATGTCTGATGACAGGATACCCAAGATCCTAATGTACAGCCAGTTAGATCAGGGCTACAGGAATGTAGGACGCCCATGGCTAAGATACAAAGACAAGCTGAAAAGCAACTTGTCAGCAGTCAATATACCACATAACACCCTTGAGCGCTTAGCCTTGGAGCGGGTAGAATGGAGATCAACGTGTTTTAGTGGACTCAACAATTTTCAATCTGCTTGTCTGAATCATCTTCAAGAAGCGAGAGCAAGATCTAAAAGGTCAGCCAATCTAAGAGTGATCTCATCTCACAATCCTCACACTTGCTCCATATGTGGCCTCCTTTGTAAATCACTAGCGGGTCTTAAATGCCACTTAAGATTATCGCACAAAATTTCATAACTGAATCAATAAGCTGTCAGATCCTCATACGTCGAAACCGACGGGAGA